CACACACACACACACACACACACACACACACAGGCACACACATAAATATCTGTCTTCTGAGGCCATGGTGCAGTACTGAATGAGGGACAGGAGGGCCTGAGTGTGGGAAGGAGTCTCAGCTCAGATTCAAGGAGACCAGTGAGATCAGGGAAAGGGAAATGAAAGTGGAAGTTTTTCAAAGGCTAAAGTTAGTACACTTCAGAATGAGGCAACCCATCCAAAGCAAAATGCTAACATGTAACACCCACCAACCATCAAGGAAGAACAGCTTCAAATCAGAACCTAGAAGAAGCTGAGGCTGGATTTCCTTTGAGACCCAAAGACCTAACAGCAACTCAAGACAATGACCTTTGTGCTCACCACCAGGACAGCATAAGGCCTCCGATGGCAGACCCTAGCCCCACCCCAACAGAGAGGGCATGGCATAAAATTCTGATACTACATCTCCTCAGGATAAAAGACAGCATCCTGCAAAGCCCCTGGACCCTCCTCTTCACCCCAGAGGCCTATGGCCAATCAGCAAAGTAATTTTAGAAAGCAGGACATGCCACGCAAGCAGCCAAAAAGATGCACTCTGGAAAAGACTAGGAAACCTTGGGAAACTGCCCTTAACACACAGGGCTGCAAGCAGGAGTCCCTTCTGGGTCCCCACAGGCTGCTATGAGGGGCCGTCTCCTCCACCACACCATTCAGAGACAAAAATGGCAACTGATGAATAAGCACAGGAAATCCAGAATGTGAAGCCACTGGAAGGAGCAGGCAAGATCTCCATGATGGGATGGAGAGGACCAGTGCATGGTGTCTCCAGGGCCCAGGTCCCCACCTACCCCACCACCCGCCATTCAGTATTCCCGGACCATGGAGGGGTGTGGGGAGAGACATGGGGACCACAATGAATAGTGGACAAACCAGATGTGGCCAGTCGAGGAATGAGGCCAACAGGCAGTAAGGCAGGGAAGCAGACAGCAGAATGTAAACTAAGACAACAGACTGCTAAGTAGCCAGATTGTCCATCACTTGTTACAAGGGCAACTATGTAATTAAAAAAAATAAATTGACATTTATTATTTCTCCTTCAATGAAAATACATTTGAGTTTGTTACCGGTAAGATGTCTGAGGTGCACCCATGGTGCCAATCCCCAGTTCCCAGACCCTTCCCTTAATCCCAGACATGGTCTTGAACAACTAGCCCAGCCAATGGCCCAGGTCAAACATCACTCTGTGCCAAGGACACACCTGGGCGCCTAGGCCCCTACTTCTCTCCCCTAAAGGGCTGAGCTCTAAGGCTCAAGTATGTCTCTTCTGTTTCCTCTTTCCCAACACTTCCTTGCAAAAACCTCTATTCTTGATCTGCCATTAACTAACTTCTACCTCTAGCCCCAAACCAAGTTCCCTTTATCCTTTGT